AAGCTTGTGATTATAAATTAAATGGAAAGTATGTTACTGCAAAAAATTAAAAGAAAAAAGGAAGGATGAGGTAGGGTGAGAGGGAGAGAGGAGTTAACGTTTGGTGGTTCAGCAGTCTAATCCTCAACACTGTGGTACCTACAATTCCAATCTAGCTCTCTGCAGTGTAGGATGGCTCAAGTCACTGAGTCCCCACACCCATGTGGGAGACCAGGAAGAAACTTCTGGCTCTCAATTTCAGATTAACTTAGCTCTGGACACTGCAGCCATTTAGTGAGTGAAGTACCAGATGGAAGACTTTCTCTGTCTCTCTTCTTTCTGTAAAATCTGCTTTTCAAAAAAAAATTCTTTAAACATAAGTAAAAAATAATCATTATCTATGAAATACATGAAATCTGTTCTGTTTATATATATATTATATATAACTTTACTCATAAATATATTCAGTTTAAAACATTAGCCTGCTGTGTATTTATTGAATTTCATTTCAAGTACCTCCTGAAACTGCCTTGCTAGGCATATACCAAATGATTTTGCTGGCGTTTACAGCCTGTGGACTGACGTACCCCACACCTGCAGGTCTCCAAAGTAGGTAGTGATTTAAATTTTCATGTGATTCCCTGCAATCTGATTATTTTGTTCTGAACTAGGCTGAAAGATATCCTGTTTTTAAAAAATAAATAAATGAAACACCAGAAGCAAAGAAATGGATAAATTCTCTGACCAGAGTCCTATATTTATTGTAAGGAAACTTCTAATCAAAGATGGGAAGCCTACTTATCCCCATACACAGTCTTTACAAGTAGGACATTTAATCTCAGAGGGCTGAGTCATACCATCATCAACTCTAGCTCCTCAAATCTGTAACTGGTATCTCCTCTACTACCATCTGTGCTGTTACATTTTGTTCCCTGAAGGTAGCCAATATGTCACTCTCTTCCTTCTCCCGAATTAATTTTATCAACTATGAGAAAAAGATTAACAAATACCAGGCAATACTGCTTATGGTAAAAATGAATCCTGATTGATAAATTCTACTTGCATAGGAGGACTTTGAATGGGTAGTGAACCCTGTGAGCTTCTGGAATGTAGACTTTTATAACTGGGCATGTCCCTGTAAAGGGATCATGGAAGCTATTACTCACAAAACTTTCCAAACAGACATCAGTTCTAAGGCTGTATGGAAATTTCAAGCCAAGAGAATTCCTGCTCTTAACCATGTGGATCTTGTCTCTTTGTACCCAAGCTGTCTTTTGGTGATAAAAGACAAAGTATCTGTTATGAAGACTCCAGTGAAAAAGGAATGCCCTGCTGGCATGCAGTATTTCCTGTCCAATATTTTTTAAGTGAATCTAGTGTTAAGTTTTGTCTTGTAGTTAGAATGTCTGACTGAACGAAGTAGAGTTCACGGTGACCTTTGCAAAAAGGCTAAGCATACTAGGAGTCTTTAATGCACCTCAGAATGTCTGGATTTTCCTAACAATGTTTCCTGCCTATGGCTTCAATTGAACTTGATTAGTATAAATATATTAAGTAGGGTCTTATCATTTATAGAGGAATCTCCTCTTATATTGATGAATATTCAGAAATTTAACATAAACAAAAAGTCATTTTCTTAGATACTGCGGTAGCACTGTGAGGTTGCCATACAGACAGAGTCATTCATCGTCTTCATACCGCAGATAATTTCTACTACTGGCTACAGGAAATTTTCAATTAAAAAGTCTATCACTCCAGCTACATTTAAGGACTGTGTTTTCAACTATAACTGAAAACTCTCCTGTCCATTCACTATTGTTGCCTGTCTCTAGAACGTATTCATACAACCAGCATTAGTAAAATATTCCTGTCTGACAGCCAGTTCCAAAATACGTTTCAAGTTAGCAAGGGAGTCTGTCTCGGAACAGGGTGGATTTTTGATCATTCCAAGTACAGATAACATGGATTGACTTTCACCTTCTAGCAAAGACTGTAATTTCAGAAGATACATTTTATCAGCTACTGCTTATTTAGTAACAACTTTCCATTAGAAGCTACTAATGAATAATCTCTAGGTGTGGATCTAGAAGACATACATAATCATTGTTAGTACTGAAGAAGCTTTGAGCTCAGTTGAGGGACTAATACACAAGATAATTTTTATTGATATAATACTGGCACATTTTATTTATTTATATTGCGATACTAAGATACAATTAGCATGCAACAAGAGTCAGAAGGAATTTAAAAGTTGGCATGAAGCGTGAATATACGCTGTGTTCAAGTAGTCAGTTTAAGTTAGCTGGTAAATGAAAATACCTATCATACTTCATTTGTAACATATTTATCAAACAAATTAATTTTGCTTAATTTTGAACAATTATTTTAACCTTACTGTTTAATTTTGACTACCATTTTTATCCTAAAGCTACTTCACTGAAACATTTTTCAAGTAGTGGTGTCAGTGCAAAAAAAAAAAAAAATCCTTGAAAGTTAATAACTTTGGAATGGAATTTAAATGTGCTAAAAAATGCAACTGAAGAAGCCAAACAACTGCCATAATATGCTGTACTATTATGTTACCACACTCTTCAAATATAATAGAAAATGTTGAGGAATAAATGTAACATCAAAGGAAATTCCTATTATAATGATTGTGTATTTGTTGACTGAGAATATGTGTTTAGTCACCTGATATCTCTACCTACTCCTGCTTGCTTAACACATATATTTTAAACTCACTACTTTTGGAAAACTAATCTTGAATTATTGAGCATTGAATTATGTATGTCTTCTAGAACATTCTTCTTCCATAAAATAGAACCACCTCAACCTAGGACACAATTAAAGGTTAAATGAAACAAGATAGCAAGACAGATTTCAACATGGTTTATAATAAAATAAAGCCTCATTCACTCCCTGTAGCCTTTCAGTTGACATATATTAACTGTTTCCAGACAGTGCTATAGAACTTAGGGTCAAAAAAGACTACCGTCTCTATAAAATTTAGTAAAATAAAGAAAAAAAAACATACAAAAGTAGCATTCCAAAAAAAATCTGAGTCACCACAAGCTGCAACAAAACATTTTCCTCAATTAGAATTAGAGAAGTTTACACTATCTAAAAGAATGTTACTGCTTTTCCAGAATCTGAGAAAATGAAATACATGTGTGTTCCTAAGCTAATAAGGAGTTAGCTATAAAATCTAATAATTACTGAATGCTTTCATTAAATTTACATTCTGTTAAACATATTACCTTTTCCACTTAATACTACTATAGTAATATAGTTATCATTTTTCCTACTGTTGTGATCAAAGCAGTTTAACAATGCTCAAAACAGCTACAGATTTGTGTGTTCATTTTTGCTTCTACTTCACGTTGCTAGTGTCTAGTTGAAATTTAGTTTTAATCAAAAGTTACCTGTGGGATGGCATTTGGCTTAGACATTAATCGGCCAGTTGGGACACCCACATCCCATATCACAGCATGTGGGTTTTAGTCCTGAACCCACTCACAATTCATGCTGCCTGTGAGTGGACATCCTGGGAAGCATCAGGTGATGGGTCAAATTCTTAGGTCCCTCTCCCCATGTGGGAGACCAGGACTGAGATCTGGACTCCTAGCTTCAGCCTGGCTCAGGCCAGTCCCAGGCACTGGGGACATGTGGGCAACAATTCCATGTGGGTACTGTCTCTTCCTTTCTCTGTCTCTGTGTCTCCCTCTGCTTCTGATTCTCAAGTAAATTAAAATGAAAAGAATTCAAATTGGTAAAAAACAAAGTGATAAATGTGCCATATACACAAACCATGTGTTATAAACACATCAGGTAATATTTCTAGCAAGAGAGACTGAACAGGATGACTAACAAAAATAGAATGAAGCTATAAGACATCCTTTTACAGGCTAAATAATTTACCACTTAAGTTCTCAGTCTTTAACAGATGAACTGTACAAATAAAAAATAATATAAATGAAAAGTTCAGTCTAATGCTGAATCCAACAAATTGAATACACATGTAAAAAAGAAAAATTTATTAAAATGTTTATTTTATTTCAAAAGAAAAAATAACTCCAAAATTTTTTGAAAATGTAAAATTCAAGAGACTTCTGAATAAAACTAACTAGAAGTAAACAAATAATACATATAGTAAAATGTATTTTCCTAAATGCCCTTGGGTGAAACAAGAAATCAAAACTAAAATTACAAACTAGAAAATAATAATTCATAAAATTTGCACCTAACAAAGCAGCAATCTTTGCACACATGTATAATTAGTTCCTTATGGCAGACTGAGAGTAACAGAGTGGAAGTGATGGTGATGAGATTTTAAGCAGTCAAGAAACTTTTTGGCCAGGGAGTTAAATGGGCAATCAATGTAGTCAGTGGAAATTATCTGCATTACAAGAGAAGGTGAGAGAGCCAAACATTCAGTGATAAAATACTCAATGAACTTGGGAAAAAATCACCAAATAGTGAAGAGGAAACAGAAATTAAGAGATGGCAACTGAGAAAATTAATTAACTAGAGAAATAAATAGTGCTTAACATTCACTCCAGTTGGAAAACTGCAACATCAATACTTAAATGTAACAGACCATCAACAAATATTTATGGGACTAATTAATACAAAGCCCACATAACACTGTAATATTTTAAGGATAGCAGCATAGAAACCGCAAGATACACGGATGTATGATACATGCCAACTCAAATCAGAATCTTCATTTAAGTGGTGTGAGCTCATACACTCATACATACAATGAAAAGACATAAGCATGTTTAGACTGCTTTATACTTCGGCTCAGGATGTTGTATGTCTTTTTGACTAACCTGGGATTTGATATTAAACTGCTAAAATCTGTTAAGGTACTTACAAGTCAGCATTCAAAGCTTTCAATGAATTAAATAGTGTACTATAAAAGGAAGAAAAAAATACCTTAGCAGAGGAGCTATTTTTGAAATAATGTTTTCAACTCTGCAAAGAAAGATGCACTAACTTAATGCTAAAATAAAGCCAACCTGTAATTTTGGCAGCCTTTTCCTCTTGGTTCACACGGTTATCTTCATCATCTTCATTGTCTTCTTCAAAGTCATCTAAATTGCCAATGTCAGCCTGCTTCATGCTCATTAAACTAGCCAAACTTTGCATGTCTTCATCCCTATAGCAATAATCCAAAATATAACATGCAATTTATTGGATGACATTGCTTGGAAAATGACAATTTCCTAACAAAAATACAAGCTGAACATTACCAATCTGAAAATGCAAAAGACAAAATGCTCTAAAATCTGAAATTTTATAAGCACTCACAGGATGTCACAAGAAGAAAATTTCACATCGGAGAGGCTATAGACAAAATGCAGCTGCACAAAAATGCTACTTAAACTTACCATAAAGTTATCGACATATATACATATAAAGTATATATGAAACAACTAAACTTCATCTTGGGTTTGGGTCTCGTCCTCAAGATATCTCTTTGCATCGATACCCAATCATTCCAAAATTTGAAAAAAATTTGAACCCTAAAACACTTTGTCTTATGCAAGTGGAATAAGAGAATCTCAGTCTTTTAAAAAAATTTATTTCTCATGATATTTACATAGTTGAGAAGGCCCATGTGGACCACTGATTAGGGTGGGAAGGGTTGAGGTCTGGGGAAAGTGATTGAGACAATTGTTTCCAATATTTTTGCTTCTTGCTGTATCTGGTGGGGGGTGGGAGGAGCAGAAGAAGGCCACTGTCAGCAGCCTAATTGCATCAGTACCCAGGGATGGGGGAATAGCCATTCGATGTCATCCTAGGATCCCTGATGTGGAGCATGTTCCAAGGATACTGTTAAGTGATTTCAATAGTTCTGAGATGCTGGTGATTTCATTGTTTCAAAGTTGAGGAAATCCTTGTGAATGACATGGTCCACTTTAGAGTCCTGATTTGCCCAGATACTTGCTGTCAAAGTTTTGCCAGAAGAGTTGTTCAATTTTTTCTGCCCTCCATCCTCTGCCACGTAGTAGATGTCCTCTGCAGGCCTCAATGAGCTGTCTTGTCCCCATGTGCATCTGGGCCTACCACCCCACTACATAGGCTTCAGCAATCGAGGAGACCCATTTTGACACATACACTCCACAGTCAGACCACACATGGTGCGATCTTCACTGTGGTTGGACTTTTGAGTCTAGTGCTTCAGTTTGGGGGTCCCCAAACAAATCTCATCTGAGGTGATTCCAGACCTGACTTCTGTGTGTGCCAGCCATTGCAGGGGATGGCTCAGACCATCAGCCCACAAACACACTGGTTGTTGCAATCACCTAGTCAGATCTATCCTCAGTCCCATCTCAAGCATAACAAAAGGATGCTGTGGCCCAGCCTAACCTTATCCAACACACACTTTGCCCTTAAACAAACCAGCAGAAACTTCAGCCCAGTCAGAGCAATCCCCAATAACTCCTACTAGGCCTGCCCCTGCTCTGGTTCCTGCACGTAATATTTGCAGCAAACTTGTCTGGTCGGTCCCACATCCCATTCAGCTCTTGTACACATCAGTGGGTGTGGAAGCCTAGCTCAGCCCAACTGACACCTCTATCCAGCCAATATTTATGCTGGCTGGTGTCTGGCCTGCCCCCAACACTGGTTCTCACACTCATTGGTGGGAGCTGCAGCCCTTCAGAGGGGTGTCCATAGTTTCCCTACGGAAAAGGCCCATTGCCAACTCTGGATCTTACACTTTCCATGTGGTACTACAGTCTAGCTCAACAGGATTTGCCCTCCATTCCTGGCACTTGCTAGCTGATGCTACGGCAAAACCTAGTCAGCCTACATCTACTCTGGCTCATGCATGCACTAGCAGATAGTGATTTAGCACAGCTGGCTTTCCCCTTAAACCAGCTCACATGCAGGTCAACAGCTGGGTGTTACAGCCCTGCCCAGCTTGGTCCACTCCTTGTCCTAGCTCTCATGCTCACCAGCAAGAACAGTGGCCCAGCAGTATGGCCCCCACAGTAATCCTTACCAGGCTCCAGTGACCCCACCAGGTCTTATGTGTGCTGGTAGAAACTGGAATAACCCACCTCACCTGGATTTGCTGGGCTCTGCCCAGCCTGCCCCAGTTCTAACTGATGCAGGTGGGGACTACAGCCTAGCCCAATCCAGCCAGCCCCGAGTCCTGGCCCCAATGTGAACTGGCTGGTGTTGCGGCCCAACCCTGTTCTGGTTCCCACATCTGCTAGTGGGTGCTACAAACTGCTTGAGGCCCACTCGCAGACCTGATCCACATGTGGCAGGCAGGCACTGTAACCCAGCCTGGTCTGGATGCTCCCAGCCTCAGCTTTTGCACTCACCAGCAGGGACTGCATCATAACAGAGGAGTTCTCTAAGCTCCTTTATTAGACCACTTCCCAGTTGCAAATCTCACACACTGATAGGTACGTGGCCCAACCAGACTTTGTCCACCTCCTGTCTCAGCATTTACTGGCATGTACAGTGGTCTTACCTAACCAACACATACCAAGAGCTGTACCTCTTACCAGTGGGTGCTATAGCCTAGCCCTGCCTGGAAAGCACCAGAGGGAGTTGTAGCCTAGCCCAGTCTGGCATGCCCCAGACCCAGTCCACATCATGCCAGTGGATGCTGCAGTCATGTCCAGGCAAGTTTCCCACCCCATTCCAGCTCTCACACTCAGCAGTGGGAACCGCAGCCCCGCAGGATCCTTACCAGGCCCACTTGGCTCCCCCAAACAGGCCTACTCCCAGCCACATATCTTGTGGGTGCCAGCAGTTGCTCCAACCCATTCTGTCTTGACCTTTGCTATCAGTTGCTGCAACCTGGCCTGTTCTCAGTCCCAACTCTCATTGGTGGATGCTGCAGCCTAGCCCTGCCCAGTCTGTCCCCTATCCCCGACTCTCATGCAAACAGGCAGTTACAGAAGCATAGCCCAGAATGGCTTGCATCCCATCCTCGCTCCCATGCATGCCAGCATGTGCTATGACTTGGCCTGGTCTTGCTCGGTCTGCACTCCCAGCCAGCCCACATACCTGCTGATAAGTGGAGCATCCTTGCCTGGTCTAGCTCAACTCCTGTGCTCACCAGCAGGAGCTATAACTCACTACAGGAGTTCCCCAAGTTCCCCCACAAGACCTGCTTCCAGATATGGATCTTATGTGTGTCAGGCCCTGCCCAGCATAGTCCACCCTCCAGTCTTGGCTTTTGTGAGTGTTGGTGGATGCTGCATCCTGGCCTGTCCCCATACCCAATGCTTGGACACACCTGTAGGTGCTGAATCTTGGGTCAACCCAGCCTACAGTAAACTCCAGTTCCCACGAGTGTTGACGAGTTCTGTGGTCATGCCTAACTTGGCTGTCACCACCCTCAGCCTTGAACAAACCAGTGGGTATTACAGTTCCAAAAATATAAGCCTACTCCCCCTCAGAATGCCCCCAGACCCTGTTCTTTAGTATGCTGGTTAGTGTCATAGCCCAGCCTAACATGGTCCACCTTTTGCCCCAGCACTCAATGGCGGGCACTATGACCCTCCAGCCTTAACTTTTGTGTGTGCCTGTGGGCTATAACTGTTGCCAGCTAGCCCAGCCCAGGTCTCCCATGTGGGCAGGTATCCTGGTTTGACCCAGATATGACTTTTGGCTTCCCCCTCAGCTCCCTTATTTATCTGCAGTTGCAGTGGCCAGGTCCATGCAAGTCCCCTAGTCACTAATCACCTGTAATGTACTACTTCAGAGGTTCTCCCAACCACATATCCCCAAACACCCCTCCTGGGACAACTGACAGCCACCACGTCTATGGCCAAGTCAGCAGGGACCCCGGGGCCTGGCTGGTCTTTCTGTATTGTATGACATACACGGCCTGGGATCCACTGTCAAGTGAGCCTGAATTTTTCATAGTAATTTGTTTCTTCTTCCTATTAGATTGCTCAACCAATCTTTTAACAGTTATAATATTGGGGAAAAATCTATTTATATACATTAATTTTAACACATTAAGTATAATTAAAAGGATTAAAAATGGTTGCAAGCTTCTTTCTGTACTGAAGACATACAGAAGACTGAAATTTTTCTGAGTATGAAGGAATTCAAAAGGAATTAGAATAAGAATTTTTAATCTGAAGTCCATGAACCCTTTGAGGAATGTGGCTAGGAATGAAAAAAAAGCAGTATACCTCTAAAAATCACATTAAATCTTCCTTCAATGTATGTTTTTTTACTAAGGGACTATAATACCCCCAAAAGTTAAGAAAAAGGCATCAAAGAGCAAAGTATAGCCTTGTTAAGAATTACAAAATGAAAATTATCTGAGCTGCTTATTAGCGAAATACTATGTTTTTTTGATTAACTATATATAAATACTCCTTATCTTGATATTTTAAATGTAAACTTGCAAAGTTTACATTAACATTCTAATTGTAAAATCTTTTTCTATTATTTTAATATTAAATTTCAAATAAACTCCAATGAATGACTTATTTCTGAAACACTACATGTAAATTAATTTTCAATTTGACAAATTTATTCAAATTCAGAAAACCAAATGAAGACTGCTTAAGAGGTTTATTGTTATTTACTTATCTTCTAAATATGGCATGAGTTTGAAAACTAGTTTTTAAAAATTCTTGGCATTTTATGTCATAAAAGCATGCAGGTAGCAAAATTATTTCTCTGTTTTTAAATAAACTCCATGACACAAATTCTGTCAAATAAAAAGAGTTCTAGTACTTCCCTGTAAATACCTTAAAAAAATTGTTCACTAATCCGTAATACATAATGAAAGGGACATCATTTATAAATACCATTTTTTAAATGTTAACTTTTTAAATTTTACCATTTTAGTTCCTTCATTCTGTAATCCTGAACATTTTCCTTTGGTAAGGAAGCAAGGAACCTGGAGGCACTAGAGAGGAAATTTAGTATGTTCTAAGAAAACTATTCAACTCAAATTGCGACACTTGGTTTGGCTGAATTTCCTCTCAGAAATTCCTGTGAATGGTGCTGATTCACATGCTGCTTTTGCCCAGTGTGAGGAAATCCATCCACAAAGAATCTTCTCTGAATTTGCTTTCTCTCTCGTTCCTGTGTTTCCTTTCATTTTGGATTCAGTTTCAGGGTAAGATCTTTATTTCTCATTATTCATCTATATAATCTAAGTGAGACTAACATGCTTCCAATCTGTAGTAGCTCTACCTGTACTCACTCAGAATCCAACTTTCTGAAGAGAGGGTTTATTCTTATCTACCAAGTCATTTATAGATGAGTGCCAAACATCCCAGTTACAGTGATGCACAGAATCCAGGCTAATCAGTCAAGCAGATATGGCCAATTATAATCACCACATTCCTCCAGGTCAAGTATGTTCAGACCCATGATTCAGATTAGATTCCCTCACCTTTCAAGTCTAGGCAAAGAAATTTCATTTCAATTTCCACTTCAACTAGGTAATGAGTTCTGTCGTTACATCCACAACATGTACTTACCTGGTATGTAACAAAATGAAGGTAGATGGCACATTTTTCTCTCAGTTCTATGTATGTTCACAAAATCTGTTCTGTTAGAATTTTAAAGATCAGAATTGATCCTAGAGAGCTTTGTGGAATGTCTATTCGGTGCTTAATAAATGACTGTTAAAGAAGGATAATGATTACAGTATAAACTGCCCCTTCCAGCAGTTTTTGGAAGGTCCAGCAGGGAATATGAATTTGAAAAAAATCTCTCCAAGTACTCCCATCCCTCTTACCCTAAACTTCACTTGGGTTCCTTACACAGTTCAATTACATGAAATAATTCTCTAAATGTAATTGTCTGAACTTGAGAATACAAGCTACACACTGAAGACACAGAAACATAAAACAAACAGGTATGAAACACTATTAGGTACAGTTTAGAAGTTGGAGCTACAGTCACTTTTAACTATTGTTAATTCTCTAGAATGAAAAGTGACTGTAAGTAAGAAGGCATATTTAAAATTCAGCCTCTGAAAAAAAATGGCAAGAATGACTGGTATGTTCTAGGATGTTTTACTATGCACACTATATTGCATATAAAGCTGTTTATGGTGTTTTGACACACAATATGAAGCAGCTTATTTGACAAAAGACACTTACGTAGCTTTTCCTTCCCGAAGGAAAATGCAAGATAATGAAAACTGGAGAGTGGCAGATACTACTTTTTTAGATAATGGCTTGAATTTTAACTTAACGTCAGTCTGAGTTGGCATAGGACTTGCATATTGTTTCATGTTGATGTTGCTAGTAGCAAGAGCTTTCCTTCGACCAGAAGGGGATTCCTGGAAGACAAAAAATGATTAAGTAATGTAAAGTTAGCTCACAAATATTTTAAAATACTAATTTCAGGAGTAGGCTTGGTGGTGAAGCCTGCTGAGCCACCAACTGGGATGCTTGCATTCGTGTCAGGATGCTGATTCAAATTCTGCTTCCTGTTTCCAATTAAGCTTTTTTGCTAATGCATCGTGGGAGGCAGATGATAGCTCAGTTGGTTGGGCACCTGTCATCCATATGAAGTCCTAGATAGAGGTCTAGGCTCCTGGCTTCATTTTGGCCCTGGACTGTCAGTTGTAAGCATTTGGGAAGTCAATTAGCAGATGGAAGTTCTCCCTCTCCCTCCTTCTCTACCCTTCTATTAAATTTTAAAAGTAAACATGTCAAAATGCTAAAAATAATAACATTAAATGACAGAGCACTTGCTCCAATGAATATCTGAAACAATTAAAATCAGATAAGGCGGTGTCTTAGTTTTTGTAAATCAGGCAGATATGAATTTGGTAAGAAGTGGTCCAGACAAAAATAAGAGAAGCTTGGAACTATACGTATCTTAAGAAAGGAAATGCAAGAAACAAAACTCGAGATAAAAAACCTTGAGAAGAGGATCCAGTAAACAGCCAAGCATAAAAAAGTATTCAACAGGGGCTGGCACAGCAGCATAGCATGCTAATCTTCCACCTGTGGTGCTGGCATCGAGTATGGGTATGGCTGCTCCATTTCTAATCTGGCTCCCTGCTAATGGTCTGGGAAAGGATGGCCAAGGTCTTGGAACCCTGCATCTATGTGGGAGCTCAGAAGAAGAAGCTCCTGGCTCCCAGCTTTGGACTGGCCCAGTTCTGGATATTGCTGCCATTTGGGGAGTAAATTAGCTAATGGAGCATCTTTTTCTCGTCCTCCCTCTTTTTGTTACTCCTGTTTTGTTCTAACTCTTTGAAGCAAAAGAGAGACATCTTTTTAAAAAAATTATTCAGCAACTGTTTTTCTTCGATTATACTTGCTATAACCATAAGATATTTTTCTTTCCTGTATACCTAAATTTTTTAGCCTATGAGGCATTCTATCTCTTTTTTGACCATAGCATCAAAATTGTATCTGTCCTGTGATTTGAACTTTATTTCTTCCCAGGGCCTTATTTCTAATTACTGTAGTCCAAAGTTCTTGCTACTTTCCTTAACATAATACATATTAAGGAAAAAAATTTTTAAAAAGAGGCGGCTCCTCAGATTCCATGCCCATGGTTACACTGCTAACAGACCTCAGCAAAATTATTCCCAACATAGCTATTCTCAATCAGAAATGGATTATTTCCATTTTCATAATTATCCTTCACTGAATAGTCTATGCCATAGGAAAATATGAAAAACAGGATGACAAAATACTGATTGCACATTTTCTGGAGAAATTTGATGATAAATGAGATAAAATAATATAACAGCTTTTACATCTGTAAGTAGATCAGATATGAATTTGGAAAGAGGTGGTTCAGGCAGAAATAAAGGAAGACTACATGTTCTAATGACAAAAAGAAAAGTTTAGATGCAGTATAAGTTGTAGGTTATATAAATCAAAGGTCATATCATTATTCAGTAGGAGTAGGTTTTAATGTCTGAAAATTGAGACAAAAATTTAATGCTTCTTTCCAAGCTGTATGATTCTAGGCAGGTTGGAAAGTTGAGCACTGGTAACCTTTCTATAAAATAAAGAAGTTAAACAAAAATCCAATCAACCTCCGTAATGCTTTTCTATAAAATCACTCAATTTTCCACCCCAGGCCGGAACAATTATTAATACCTTCGAATTATCATTTAATAAATCCTTATTTGATTGACAAATTCACCTAAAACAAGGATAGAGAAATTTAATTTAAAAAATTAAAACAGCATTTTTCAAAAACCTGCCATTTCTGTCCAGTAGAATAACTAAAAAATATAATGTAGCATCCTTAAAGAATATCTTGTTTTAAAATGGGTCTTATCTGAGAGATTATGCACAGAAATATTCTACAAAACTATTAGTGCATGCAGATACCTTATGAATGAATTTCAAAAATGTATCAGGCACTTGAGAAGGATTTAAGCTCTCTCAGAAGAAATACTTAAGAATATGCAAATACCCTCAACTGAATCAAGTTGAACAGATGTGACTACAGCAAACAATACAAGTGTTCTTTCTCTGGTTGGTACTGTCAATCAAAGAATAAGATTAAGGCCCAAGGTTCTGACAACGTGCAAAATGAAAAAGTACGACCAGGGAGTATCAACTTATTACACTGATATGAACAATAATCTCTTATTGTACCTTTAGAATAGCTAACAACTTCTACATAGAAGATTCAAAGCCTCTGTTTTGAAAGCATGACATACTAACTGTCAAGTTATTTTTCAGTTTTTGCTAAACAAATCTGTTTCACCAAGTAAAACATTGATCTTTTACTGTATTTCAGTTTATAATCAAATAATCAAACTAAAAATATATAAATAAGTATAATTTTAAAAGCTCAGTTTCAGTATGCTTTCTACAAAACCTCGATTTTTTAAATTAATATTCTGTCAGCCTCAGATTAAAAATTATGTAGGAGAGTTTTACTTGCTGAACTCAGGCTTGTAAGAAAATAGAATGCTTTAAGCACCTGGTAAATCAGTGTCTTTCAAACATTAGTCAATAAAAGCCACCAAATCCGATATGAAGTTGGACCATTTAAGTAATTTCCTGCTCAGTAACAATTAAAACAGGACTTTGTGAGGTCTGGGCAGATGAGCATAATAGAGCATGAAGTTAAGTCACTGTTCATAGAGCCAGCATCCTACACAGGTATTGGCTGGAGTCCCAGCTTCCCCACTTCCAATCCAGCTCCCTGCTAACACACCTGGGATAGCAGCAGAAAACAGCCCAAATCCTTGAGTCCCTGCACACTCCTGGGAGATCCAAATGAGGCTCCTGGCCTGGCACAAACCCATCTGTTTCAGAGGTTTGGGGAGCAAACCAGTGGATGGAAGATCTCCCTCTCTGCAACTCGTCTTTCAAATAAATGTTTTCTTAAAAAAAGACTGTTTGTATTTTTCTTTTTTTGAAATCCAGCCAAATTCAACTAGAAATCAATAACCTGAATTGTAATGTGATATCAGCAGTTATTATTCATGGATTGATTTTTTTGTAGCCAAGATTCAATTTCACACTCTCAGGCTAGCAAGTAGTTTTTAAAGGTGCACAATACCAAGTACCAATATGAATACCAACTCTCTGATACTGCCAGAGTTTCAACTGCCACAACTTTAGGCATTATCTTGTAAAACTAGATATACATATCTTATGATGCTACAATTCTTCTCCTAGAAGTAAGTCATAGAGAAAGTCTTATCAACATGAAAACACCCAGCAAAGTATTTAGCATATAGGAAGTACTTAATAAACAATATTTTAAGTAGATTTTATGGACTAGTTATTATATTAACATTATAACAAGTTCAATGCAGGATAAACAACTTGAAAGGAGGAAAACAGATAAATCACAACTAATAGCAATATTTCCTTTAGTGTAGTTACATGATTAAAGCTAAGATAAATTCTCCACCTCAATGCGCTCATTGCTAGTCACACTGCAAGCAGTAGGTGTTTTGTTGGCACATGAAAATAAGAAAGACTGTACTTTTAAATTCCCTAACAAGGAATGAACTAAAAATCAACAGACACATTCTAATGAGATTATTTTTATAAACACTTTAAAAGATTGATGTTACCAACAACAGCAACAAAAACAGGTTGCCAATATAATTTATTTTTCTCCATAAAACGTCATGGAAGGTATGAAGCAGTATAGTTAAATAGGATATTCTGGGGCAAGCATATGCATAGGTAGTTGTGTAACCACTTGGGACCCCTGCAATTCCTTAATGGAGTGATTGGGTATGAGCCCTGTCTCTAATTCTAATTCCAGTTTCCTGATAATGTGCAGCCTTGGAGGCAGCAGATGAAGGCTGAAGGACTTGGGTCTCTGGCAGTCCCTGAATGAATTTTGGGCTGCTGGCTTCTGCCTTGCTCAGTTCCAACTTTTAGGGGTAAGATCAGTGGATCAAAGAATTTTATTTGTCCTTTTTTGCTTTTTCTGTCTTTTTCAAATAAGTTAATAAAATACATTTAAAAATTTTTAATGAGTTTTTTTTTAGAATTTTTATTTTCATTTTATGTGAAAATGGAGAGACCGACACACAGAGTTTCTGTACTGCTGATTCACTCTCCAAAGAGAAACTAAGTCTTACAAGTAGGTTGCAGGAACCCATGTATCTGACATATTACCTACTTATTCCAAGATGTACATTATCATGAGGAAGCTGGCTTAAAAACAGAGGAACCAGGACTTGAACTGGGAACTCTCTATATGGAGCTTTTCTTCTCTTCTTGAAACTGGTTACTATTTAATACAAATGGGGTCACAGGTATGGTAAGTATAATGATCTCTCAAACTGTACTGAGATAAGCTTAATGGCCTAATTCATGATAGATATTTATAAATATTCCATGGATCCTAAAAAAAAATTTAACTCATCTTATATACTGCTGTCCACTTCTGCAATAGGACCTTTTCTTTATGTAAAAATCACCTAAAGAACAAACTGTTCTGTATTATATATAACGACAAATAAAGCAGTAGAAATTCTCAGATATGAAGTTCCAAAATGTTTTCTAAGTCACACAAATCGAGAAATAAATAAAAAAATTGGCACAATCCCAAGCAATAAATCTTGTGAAAAATCCCTTTTTACAATTAACCATTCTTCCCCTTTAACACACAGAATTTTACATAATTTTGAGCCCTTTCTTCAGGTATACTTACTTGATATTTAATTTGTTTAAAATAACACAAACACATTAACATTTTTATGAAAAACAAATATACTTTCTACAGAAAAATTTAATGAGAATACTAGCTCTATTTCATATTTCTACAAATCTCTTCAATGTCTTTATGTTTACAATACCTTTTTATTGTCTGGTTTAATAGCTCTACATTTTGGTTGAAATATAAGAATGTCAAGCTTCAAACACATATGTACTTGGAAAAGAGGAATATTTTAATAACCTTTCAGATTTTTTTTTTCATCTTTAATACTAAGCAAAAACGTAGCAGAACTTTCTTAAAGGGTTACAGTAACTCAGAATTCGAAATCACATGAAGAAATGTTTTAAACTCTGTTAAACTAAAATCTATTGCTCTATCATCTACATTGCATGAATCTTTTACCCATACCTGATCTGGCAACTTCTTACTCTGGTCATCAGAACATACTGATTCTCTGAACTACGAAAATATCGACACATTTGATTGTGTAGTGCCAAAAATATCACACATATTTATATGATCCTCTATTCCAAAAAATATATTTTTAAAGCCTATTTATTTGAAAAGAACATCAACAGAGAAAATGGTAGAGACATTAAAAGTGAAAGAGAGAGAGCTTTTCTCTGCAGATTTCACTCCACAAATAGTTGCAACGACCACTTCTGGGCCAGGCTGAAGTCAGGAATCAAGGACACCAAACTGGTTTTGACGTAGGTGGTAGAGGCCCAAGTATCTGCAACCATTTTGTGCTACCTTCCCAGGCACATTAGTAGGAAGCTGCATTAGAAGTAAGGCATCTGGGACTCAAAGAGCACTCCAATAGGGGATGTTAACAACTCAAGTAGTGGTTTAACCCACTTGGTACAATGCCAGATCCAGAAAACCCTTTAAGCATAAGGAAGCTCTTGAACTGACCAGTGCAACTTTTCCTAAATTTAAATTTTCAACTGAAAACTAAAGTTTAATACCACTGATAACGGATTATTTTAGTCTTTGCCTTTAATAATAATCTCATTTTGCCCCCATTTTCAAGAAAATATTTACTAAATAATTACCAGAGTAAATAACCAGTTTGCCTTTCTTTTTTCAGGTTAAAAATAGTATTCCAGAAAAGATACACAACTATTTTTTCTTCTGTTTTTGTTTTGCTTTACATATCCTCATTTTTCCATTTACTTGCACAAACAGAACAGTTTTCATGTATTTCATAAACACAATTTTAAGCCCACAATGGTATACCCCAACCTCCTTCTTCCTATGCCTTTTCTCTCTCTTTTAATATCTGTGATAACATACTGTTTACTTAGTAGCCACACAAGCTTAATCTTCCAATAAAGAAAAAAAAATCAGCAAGTATAGAGACCATTCTTATAAAAGAGTACAAACAAGAGCTGTAAATAATAAACAAAATTTAAGATGTCAATTTCACTCACAAACATATTTTGTACTCTCTATATAAGTTACAAATCAAAGAAAGATAATAACTGCTTCTTTTGGATTTATTTCACTAAGCATAATGGTCTTCAGTTGAAGCCAGTTCGCTGCAAAAGACAGGGTTTCATTCATTCTTTCTTGTGACCAAGCATGGGTCATTTAGTAGACCTATTTTCAGATTTTTGAGGAATCTCCTTGCAGTCCCCCATAGAGGCTGTATTAGTTTACAATCCCCCCCCAACAGTGTATTAGGGTACCTTCTTCTCTATGACTATGTCAGTTCTTGTTAAGGGACACCTTGTCACAGAGAAATGTTGAGACTGTGAACAAGCACATTTAAAAAAAATAATTCTTTCAAAATGCATTATGTACTCTCTTCATTTAATTACAGAGATTCATCAATAAACTAATATTAACATAGAAATTTAATACAATAAATAACTTAATTATAGCATTATAAAGAAAAGTTTTGAAAACAGTGAGGGCTAGCTCCTGATGACAAATTTCCAAGGTGATATTGTCTTTATACTTATGTTAACTACAAGAGTTGTTTTTTTCCGCATTATTTCCTTCTATGCAGTGTAGTTACTCCTCCTTGATCCACAGAATGGCAAATTCTGGAGTCTCAAGCTTTAATCAACAAAGAAAACTTATCAGACCTTCCTGCTATGGGAATGGAGAAGTGCTAGACTTTTCTGCATTTCCATGCAGAGGTAAAAGCAATAAATTATAGATCAAACATGGTAGAAAGTTCAGCATTATAAACAGTTTCATTGGATGTTGATCTTGAATTTAGGAGTAGATGCATTCTGCACTATATTTTCAATTCTCAGTATACTAGTCTGTATTATATAATTCCTCTAGATGAATATACGTATCTACGTGTGTGTATCTTGCATTTTGTATATAGGTTGCTTTATGTGAGTCAGAAAATATGGTATTTGTCCTTTTGGGATTGGCTTATTCCACTGAGCATAATGGTTTCTAGTTGGGACCCAATTTGTGGCAAATGGTAGAAATTCATTCTTTTTAATGGCTCAGTAGTATTCCTTAGTCTATACCTACAATGTCATGATACATGTAAGTGGCAGAATGTTGGACTTCTGACTGTTGCTAAAGGACTGAACTACTGCAACAATATAGGGAAAGGTGCTCACTTTAGCAGCATATATACTAAAACTGGAATGATACAGAGAAAATTAGTATGACACCTGTGCAAGGATGATGCACAAATTCATGAAACATTCTATATTTTTTGTTCTGGTAAAAAAAAATAATAATACAGGGAAAAACAGTGGTGGGGGGAAGGGAAAACAGAGGGTGTGCAGGGAAATCCATGAGCTTATGGAATTGTATCATGAAAAATTAGAAATTAAAAATATGTAAGAAAAAAACAAAAAATTACAGATCAAGTAGAAACATTCAGTAGAAAAGCGATGATGAACGCTTGCCTTCTAGACTTCCTGCTTCCAATTATTACCACTATTGTTTTATGTCTTTCGATTCTATTAGTATCATTTCAGAACTGCATTTAAAAATATCTTTTCCTGTTTTGTGATTGCTTTTAGCTGTTTCCTAAGAGGGGTTATTGATGCTAGTCTGTCATACTGCCAGAACAACATGTGGGTTCAAGTCTCAAACTGGCTTCAAGACTTTAAGTGTTCTTACTGACACAGTATCTGATAATAAATCACTGCTTAAAGCACACACACTTCTAGAGTCCAAAAGTTTACTAGATTCTGTTCATATTTTTGTCCATGGGAACTCTTAAAAAAAATTTTGTTCTGAGTACTGCTGAATCAGTACACTACAGACAACGAGAACTTTGACTAGCATTTTAAGAGCATGTGACTAGATAAATGCTGGCCTTGAAAGTCTCAGCAATTAGTTTAATCTTCAATTTTGTATCATGTTTACATAGTTATTTCAATGTAAAGAATTAGAACATATTTTATGCCAAGAGCCACACTCGGCTGACTGAAGAATCAAAATCTTCAAGTGAAATAATGTGGAATTGGAAGAGACTTGTCATTGCTAAAGTAAGAACACCTTCTAATATATATAAAAGAAATATAACATTTTTTGTCTTTGAACTTTTCACTAAGATCCAATGTAAAAGTTCCTGAGACTTGGCTTTTTTGAGATAAAATAACTTGTTGCACCCAAAACTAACAACTGTTGCTTTATTTCTTGCACAGATGTTATGCAGAGTCTATGACATGCCTGTGTTTTCCCATTTAATAGATAACACTTTAAATTTCACCTTTAAAAAATAAAAAGTTCATATGGAAATTATACAGTTCTAACTTTTTCAAAATTGTGATGCTGGTCCTTCATGCCATCGCAAACATATTCCTCAGGCCATACGGAAAAGATCTTTGCTTCATCAGCAGACTCAAATGGAATATGACAGGATTTAATTTGGAATCTATGGAGCAATTAAATGCTAAGCCTACATGTCACAGGGCGCTCTCTCAACCACAAAGACTTAATTAGAAACCATATCAGCAACATAACCAATTCAGATGGTTGGATGGAAAAGAGTTTGGTAGCACAAATGTAAACAGTGTCAGCATTTTTAAAAATTTAGATATGTGTTCCCAAACACTTAAAAAAAGTCTTAATTTAGAATAAAATATTTTAAAAAAATATTTGGTTTTTATTGAATAGTCAGATTTACACGGAGGAGAGACAAAGTTCTCTGATATGCTGGTTTACTCCCCAAGTAGCTACAACAGCCAGAACTGAGCTGAGCTGAAGCCAGGAGCCTGGAGCTTCTTCCGGGTATCCCACGTGGTTGCAGGATCCAAAGGCTTTAGGCCATCCTCCACTGCTTTCCCAAGCCACAAGCAGGGAGCTGGAAAGGAAGTGGAGCAACCAGGGTTTGAATTGGCACCCACATGGGATCCTGGTCCATGCAAGACGAGGACTTTAGCCATTAGGCTACTACGCCAGGCTCCTTTCTTTTAAAATAAAAATTAAACACCCCACCCTCCTTACAGAGAAATTCCAGAAATACACAAAAATAGTTAAAATTGCATAAGTCAAAATGGGTATAGGCTATCCAAATAGAAAAAAAGATGTTCATCATGTCAATTCTATCACAAAATGCTAAAGGGCAGTTTATGTCAACTCATGCCCGTATAACCCTGAAGAAAGCAACCAAAAAAGTTTACTCAGACCATTTTATGCAGTTGTTTACTCTTGAAGAAGATATTAGCCAGATTTTCTAATTAGCTTCTAGCAGACATACTAAAACAACAAAAAAATCTGTTAGTTTTAAAAAGATCTGGTGGGCAGGTGTTTAGTGCAGCAGTTCTACCATTTGGCACACCCAGACCCTATAATGGAGTGCTTGGGTTCAAGTCCTGGTTCTGGCTTCTCATCCTTGCTTCCTGCTAATGTGTACTCGGGAGACAACAGATAATGGCTCAAAGGAACAACTAGATTGAGTTCTGGGCTTTTTGATTTGGCCTGGTCTCGGCTACTGCAGATCTATGGGGAATGAAGCAGCAGGCGGACTATTTCCCTCCACATTACCCCTCTCTCTTTCCTTTCATTTCTCTGCCGTTCAAAGAAAAATAAAAATACTTTTACAATTTTTCCCTTAAAATATTTATTTATCTATATGAGAGCCCTTGGGTTCACTTCGCAAACCCCCACAAAGGCAAGAGATGGGAACCCAATCTATGCTTTCTACATAGTTTGCTGAACCAATTCCTTGAACAATCATGGTTGTCTCCCATGATCTGCGTTAGCAGCAAGCTGCAGTCAGGAACCAGAACTAGAACCAAAATGAGGGCCAAGCATCAAACCCAGTTAGTCACAATGGGATGCAGGCATTCTAGCCAGTGTCTTAACTGCCTCTGTCTAACACTGACCCCTAAAACTCTTGAGTAAAATATTCAAATCATTTAAGATTTTATGTATGTCACCAAATCATGTTCCTAAAAAGTAACATCAAATAATCAACAGTATACAATAATGCTAGTCTCCTACTATTATATTTTCAATCTTTGCTGAAGTGTTGACACCAAAAATCTTATGTATGACTTTGTACTTACTATCCATCTGCACTACCTCTTATAAAACCAGTCACATGCTTTTATCATTTATCCATTTGGACCTAAACTTTTTTTAAAAATATTTATTTTTATTGAAAAGTCAGATATACAGAGAGGAGGAGAGACAAGAGAGGAAAATCTTCTGTCCGATGATTCATTCCCCAAATGGCCACAACAGTCATAGCTGTGCCAATCTGAAGCCAGAAGCCAGAAGCCTCTTCTGGGTCTCCCACACGGGTGCAAGGTCCCAAGGCTTTGGGCAGTCCTCGACTGCTTTCCCAGGCCACAAGCAGGGAGCTGGATGGGAAGTGGAGCTGCCAGGACATGATATCAGCCCCTACATGGGATTCCAGAGCTTGCAAGGTGAGGACTTCAGTTGCTAGGCTCCAGCGCTGGGCCCTAAACTTTTTAAAAAAATTACTTATGGAAAAAGAAGAATGCAGAGGGAAGGAGAGAAGAAGAGAAGGGAACAAACAGTGTTCCCTTACCAGTTCACTACCCAGATGTCTACTTGGACAAGAGGCCAAAGCCAGGAGCTTGGAACTCAATTCAGGTCTTAAAGAGCACTGCTATAAAACAAATTATTTGAATCATCACCACTGTCTCCTGTGGTCTGTGTTAGCAAGAAGCTGAAGTCATGACCATAGGCATGAACTGAACTCAGTATTCCAATATGGGATGTGGATGTCCTAATCGGTAGCTTAACCACTGAGACAGTTGCCCACCTTGTTTTTCTTATTCTTGATTTAAAAAAATTAACAACACTGTATTTAATATTTATGTGAGTACACATAAAAGTTTGTGTATAAGTAAAATAAATGATAGCAATGATGTAAAGGACAGAAGGTATTTAATCAATTATTTGGTTACTATAAAATATGTATATTACCTGCAAATTAATACATAATTTGAAAGTGAACTTGGATTAGTTATAAATGTATATTTCACACTCCAGTTAACCACCACAAAATCTTAAAAACGAGATTAACTGAAACAAAATGGGATCACATAAAATGCTCATTTAAAATCACAAGATGGAAAACATATGCAGACAAAAACAGAAATAAAGGAACAAGAAATAGAAAACAGTAACAAATAAGATAGACCGTAATTCAATTGTGACGTCAATTTCAAAAGGACCTAATTAAGAGACTGTTAGAGTGACAAACAATACTGACTTTAAATATCAATAATAACACAGGTTCATTGTAAGCAAAAACATTAACAGAAATTTCAAAAGAACAAACTGCAGTATCACCACCAGAGATAAGCATTTCTATGTTCACTTTTCTAGCTTATTCATATTTTAAAAAATATATTGATCTATTTGAAAGGCAAATTTAACAAAGATGGAATTTTTCCACTTTCTGACTCCTCAAATGACCACAATGATGGGCTTGGCCAGGTTACTGAAGATAGGAACCTGGAAATCATCTGGGTCTCTTAAGTGACTGGTAGGTGGGCAATTACTTGGGCACCTTCTGTTGCTTTCCCAGGCAAATTAGATTAGCAAGCAGCTGGACTGCAATCAGAGCAGCAAGGACTTCAACTGGCACTGTGCTGGCATCACAGGCAATGGATTAAACAGCTGTACCACAATGCTAGCCCTTTAGATTCATTTTTACGAAAAAGTAGATCATGCTGATACATACTTTTAAAAATGGTTTATTTTATTTGAAAGACAGAGTTACAGAGAGAGAGGGAGAGACAGAGAGAGGTCTTCCATCTGTTGGTTCTCTACCCAAACAAGTGCAATGGACAGGGCTGAGCCAGAATGAAGCCAGGAATCAGGAATTTCTTCTGCATCCCCCCACTTGGGTGCAGAGGCCCAAGGACGTGTGCCATGTGCAAGCTTTTCCAGGTGCATCAACAGGGAGCTGGATGAGAAGCAAAGCATCTGGCAGTCAACTGGCGCCTATAAGGGATGGCAGCATCACAGGCAGCAGCTGTACTTGGTACGGCACAATGCTACTACCTCAAACACAATTTTCATGAATAAACAGCATACCACGATGCCGCATACAACAGGTATAAATATTGCATTTTATGGATATAACAACTTAATCCTGTATTTCTGGTAAACTGAGGTTGCTTTCAATGTTTCATGTTGTAAGTGACAACCAGGTGAAAAATCCTCTCAAATAATTATTTACACCCATCCACAATTATTTTACTACATAAATTGCTGTTGG